GCCGTTGTAGTTCGACATACATATTATGTTCGAACTACAATGGTCTCTACTCTATTACATCTCTTTCCTGTCCCTCAAAATATAGAATTTTAAATTTCCTTACTAAATCCTCTTAGCTTAATAATTAACAAATAACTTAATATTCTAACAAATCGTTTCTTAATCGCCCCTCGGTCGTCTGGGCCTCTAAGCTTTATGATGAATACAGGAATGCTTGCTGATGCTCTTATTGATGCACAAGCCATTTCCAAATTCTGAAAGACCGGTAAAAAAAAAAAAAAAAAAAAAAAATAGAGCCGCGGTTTTAATTCCATCTTCCCGGCTTCGTGTTAATTAAATTCAATTAGTTAAAGATTTAGGTTTCAATTTCACCGTTCCAGCTTCGTGATAATTAACCTCAATTGATTAAAAATAAAGATTTTCAACTCCACCCTTCTGGCTCCATCCTAATTAAATCCGAGCCAGTTAGCCAAAATTTTAATTTTTTTTATTAATTTTTTGTGTTTTAAATTCAAGCCAAAGTTAAGTCCACCTTCCGGCTCCGTTAATTCGAAAATAGTTAAGAATTTATTATCTCAGTATATATTAAATTCAGTACGAACCACACAAGTCGAAATATACATACATATATAGACCGTCATCATTTTTTTCCGAACAAGCACGAATTTTCCGGTAGTTTTTCCATTTTTCGTGCCTCCAACGCTGCATCAGGCAACATCCGCCTACAATCTGAGCAAACCTCGCCTCCTTTTGGGTTTTTTCTGGTGCCTGAAGTTTTTCTTTCCACATTCAAATTGTACCGCACACGACTTTCCTTTCCACATCGGCCTTTCATCCGCGATCTCACCGTTCTCATCACATTAGTGCGACCGGCCACCACTTCGTACGAGGCACCTGTTGCGCGAGTCAGTCGACATGCGCTGACCAGCGAATTGGACTCTGAGAATGCCCACGGGAGACGACAAAAAGCCGCGTTCGATCCCAGCCATCCGTTTGGACAGATCTCAATCCGCATCTCCGCGGACGCCTCTGTTGAAGCCTAAGGCTACCAGTGCCAGTCCAAGGGCAAAGAGTGACGAATCCGTTAATACAACCCCCGATCCTTCACAGAGGCAGACTCGCTCCGTTGCAAAAATGGCTCCAAGTGCGGTCGAAGTAGCGTTGAAAAAGTTCATCGCCACAACAGATCGAATTAGCCAATTTGAGGCTAACATAAATACTCCGGGCGCCCCAGAAACCAAAATAGGCTCCCAATACATGTGCGAAGTCCATTGGGACCAAATTCGGGCACTATAGGAGAAGGTGGAGAAGAGCTATGAGAGCTGCTCCGATTTGCTAGCCGTGTCCGACGACAATGCGGCCGCCTCGACAGTGCTGGAAGCGAAGTACAGCTACTGTTACTCCGTCTATTTGAGATGTATTGCCCAGCTTCGGGAGAAAATTGCTTCCCAATCCACTCAGGCTCGCGTCAATGTCCACACGCCCGCGCCTTCAGGCTGCCGGTTACCTCCGGTGGATACCGAGGTCTTCGCGGGTGATTATCTTCGGTGGCCCACCTTCAGAGACAAGTTTACGGCCATTTACATCCAAAACTCGCGGCTCACCCCGGTAGAGAGGTTGTTCCACTTACTGTCCAAAACAAGTGGTGACGCCCACGCCATTGTTTCTAAGGCTCCGCTTACCCATGAGGGGTTTGTCGCCACATGGCAAAGCCTCACAAACCGCTTTGAGAACCGGCGGCTATTGCTCAACAGCCAGTTGAAGATCCTTTTCAACATCCAGGCTATTTCTCAAGAGTCCGGGGTCGCGCTGAAAGAGCTGCAAGCTACCATTCAGAGTTGTCTGACAGCCCTAGAAATGTCCTCCGTTAATGTTGAAGCTTGGGACTGTCTCCTTGTATTTATGATTTCGTCAAAGCTCCCCAAGGTCACACTTTCTATGTGGGAGCAATCCGTACATAATAAGGCCGAGATTCCAACATGGAAGGAATTAGATAACTTCCTGACAGAGCGCCATCGCCCTCTGGAGGCCATCGACGACGTCAGGCCTAGTGGCTCCGTGCAATTTCCGCCAAGGTCGGGACTTCCTACTGCCCCTGCTCGGAGGCTCACTTCATACGAGACTCGAGTGGTTCCGGGCCAAAAGGGCTGCGATCTCTGTTCGAGGGAGGACCACCCCATTCGCTTATGTCCGCGTTTCCTAGAAATGGATGTAAATGGGCGCTCTGACTACATAAGGAGGAAGCAGTTATGTTTAAACTGTTTTGCCCGAGGGCACCAGCAGCGAGACTGCACGAGCGCCCATACCTGCTCCACATGCCACAGCAGACACCACACCCTCTTGCACCGCGGCAATCCATTCGCAACCGCTCCAAGTCCGCCTACGCAGCTTACCGCTCCAAGTCCGCCTACGTCAACAAACGGCCCCGAGGATCAGTCGAATGTGCAGGTGTGTTTCGCTTCCGGGTCAGGAGCCGTCCTACTGGGCACGGCCCTTATCAACGTGTGCCATTTGGGGTGCACCGTCCAGGCACGAGCACTGATAGACTCAGGGTCCGAAGCGACCTTCATAACGGAACGACTGTTCAACCTCGTCAAACCACCCTTCAAGACGATTCAAGCCCAAGTTTCCGGCCTTAATCAGACCATTTCCGCGCCGTCTAGACCCGGGCTACAATTATCGACTGCGGCTTACGTTCTTCCGCAGTTGGCAGGAAATCTGCCATCATATCCGATTTCGCGAGATCTTCTCAAGGGGCTGCCCGACATTCCCCTGGCGGACCCCAACTTCTTTGAGAGCTCCCAAGTCGATGTGTTATTAGGAGCTGACATTCTTCCGTCCATTCTCCTCGGTAATCCCAAGGCTAACATCTGCGGGTCGCTTCTCGGTCAGGAGACCATTTTTGGATGGGTGCTGACAGGCCCATTGTCTCCAGCTAACCCCCGCAGCGTGTCTGTTTCTTCCGCACGAATTGCCCGCAGCCTCGGTGACTCACTGGTTCAGGGTTTCGATTCAGGATGCGAGCGCAATTCTGTCTCGGCTCCTTCTTCGATTTACACATCGCATCACGCTGCACGGTGGCAATCAGCTGATGATCCGACTGATCCGGGCCAAATTCTGGATTCCAAGGTCATATTCAGCACGATGTCGCCACGCCCACGCAACGCCCAGTCACTGGAAAGCAGATGTACTCGAGGTACACAATCCTACCGATGCCGAGTCTGAAATGGGATCCATCCATTGAAGAAGTGTCGGCGCTTCCTACGCCTTAGTGCAGAGGAGCGGCTCCGAGCGGTTCTCGTGAACCGCTATTGCTCGAGCTGCCTGGCCCACGTGCACTCCGACGGATCCTGTCGGCGTGGGGACGGCTGTAAGACGTGTGGTCAGGATCACCACACGCTGCTGCACCCCGTGACCAAGGAGCACCGGTCACCGCCCGCGGGAGACAGTACACGGGGTGTCTCGCTCTCTCGTCGGCCGTCATCCGCCAACTCCCGGCGCGGTTCGGGTGCTTCTCGCCCTGCGTCCGCCATTTTCCGGCATTCCCAAACCGATCCACGACCGCCGACTTCCCGGCACTCTTCGATAACTCCTCGGCATTCTTCGGCTCGTCCGCCCTCGTCATCCGCGCCTAGGCAATTGTCCGCCTCTCCTCGAGGGCCCTCGCAGGACGCGCCCACCCTATCGTCGCTGCTGAACCGGAACAGCGACAACCATGGGACCCGGATCTTCGACACGGGGGCCTTCATCGACCCGTGTACGCCCTCTAGCTGCAGTGACTTATAGCTAGCGACGAGGGATCTGTTGCAACCCGAGCGATTGCAAGGGGGGGAGGATGTTTACGTGAGGGGCCGTTGTGCCGCATCTTTAGGAGCGCACCCGCGCTGAAGAGTGCACCAGCACTGAAGAGCGCACCCGCGCTGAAGAGCGCACCCGCGCTGAAGAGCGCATCCGCGCTCGCCCCTCTTTGCGCTCTCGCTCCTTCAACGGCCGTCGTCGATCGTATTTTTTCTACTTACTTTTGCCTTGTTTCTTTTCTAAGTTAAGTTTGTTTTCGATGTAAACAGCCCAATGAAGCTGACCGCGTTATATCCTCTGGAAGATGCCCCCGACTTTTTATTCAACATTTCTACTCCTGGAATCTTTTGCGGCAGCCACGCCCCCCTACAAACAATTATAAAACCAGATTCTCAAGCAGACTAGTTAGGGATTTAAAAGACGAAACTGATCAGGAAAATGCAATTATAACAGAGCATAGAAGAGCACATGGAAATAGCAATGAAAACAAACAACAATTACTAAACAAAGTGTAAACTTAAGGAAAGTAATTTCTTCAGATGAGGGCTAAAATAACAAAAATTCTAAAAGAATGCCAAATTTGTAAAGAACAGAAATACGAAAGACACCCCAACAAACCAGAGTTCCAAAAAAATCTAATTATTCACGTCGATTTTTACCTTACTTGCAAACAAGTTGTTTTGACTGCAATAGATAAATTTTCAAAATTTGCACAAGCCAGGATAGTCAAATCTCGAGCAACCCAGGACATAAAAGAACCTTTAAAAGAATTATTTATCAATTTTGGTATCCCAGAAATGGTAGTCATAGATAATGAGAAAGCACTTGGTTCGGCACCCGTAATGCGGATGCTACAAGATCAATTAAATAATGAAGTAAAGCACCCCCATATAACAGCTCAGCAAACGGCAAAATCGAACGCTTCCATTCCGCACTGTCCGAAATTATTCGTTGCCAAAAAGCAGACAAAGTACACGCATCGTTAAGAGATCTTATAGACAGATCAGTTGTCAAATATTAGTAACACACAGATATTAGGAGATGAAGAGGTAAATGAAGTTATAAAAACTTTCGATCAAGACCAGTGGAGGTGACCAGTTTTTAAGGTGGAGGAGTTAACACAAAACAAATTCGCAACCGAAGTTGGCCACGCGCATCCGGCATTGCAGCAGTAAGCAAAAGTGCAAGGGCAATTTCCCGAAATGACGACGCGCGATCGCTGGAATGCTACTCGACGGTGTGGCTTGTGCTGGAGATGTTTCCAGAGCCACAAGGTGGAAAGATGCGGCATCCCCAATCCTTGCGGAATAGATGGATGCCTAGAACGCCATCATCCCCTGTTGCATCGCGGCAGCACGGCTCCCGTCCAAGCCAGGTGCCATGCACACCGACAAGAAGGTGTGGAAATGCTGTTCAGGGTATTGCCAGTGACTTTGTATGGAAATGGTAGGCAAGTCAACACGTATGCCTTCATCGACGACGGGTCATCTCTAACCTTGATCGACGCCCCATTGCTAGAAGACCTTGGAGTGAAGGGACAACCGCAGCCTCTATGTATGCAGTGGACTGCCGGCATGCACCGGTATGAGGACAGCTCGGTCAGACTCGACTTAAGGATCTCCGGCATTGGCCAAACGAAGCAATATGATCTTCGCGACGTTCACTCGGTCCAGTCTCTTGATCTCCCGTCACAGTCGTTGGATATAACCCACCTGAAAGCACAACACACACACCTTTGACATCTACCACTGTCCGGATACGACTCAGCACAGCCCAGGCTCCTGATAGGTCTCAATAATTGCAAACTAGGGCGCGTGCTTCGCACCAAGGAAGGCACAACAGAAGAACCGATCGCTGAGAAGACCCGCCTGGGGTGGACGATTAAAGGAAGAAGCTCCAACAGTGTGGGTGATGACATAACCCCAAACTACCACGTGTTTCACATATGTGCATGTGAAGCTGACGAGAACAAGGAGATCTTGCGCCTGCTTGAGCAGTGCATGTGGTCGGACGGCGGCCCTAGACCAGAGATGAATAGCAAGAGCGTATCCAATGATGACCAGTTGGCTATACAGCAGCTGGAGAAGAACACGAGGCGTATAAATGGCCGATTTGAAACAGGTCTGCTTTGGAGGTATAAAGATGACAAGCTGCCGGATAGTTTACCTACAGCCCTAAAGCGTGCACGATGCCTGTACCAGAAACTGACTCGAGAGCCGGAGCTTGCGAAGGGAATTCGCCGACAGCTAGATGAGTACGTGATGAAAGGATATGCACGGCCCATTACGTCGGAAGAAGCTGAGGAAAAGCCATATTGGTATCTACCTATCTTTCCCGTGCTAAACGTGAACAAGCCAGGAAAGCTTCGCATAGTCTGGGATGCGGCTGCAAAGACGGAAGGGATCTCGCTGAACACAATGCTGCTGAAGGGACCTGACCAACTAGCGCAGTTGGTACCAATACTTCACAGGTTTAGAGAGAAACGTATTGCTATCGGCGGCGATATCGCCGAGATGTTTCATCATGTCAGGATACACACAGAAGATCAGAGATACCAACGCTTTGTATTTATAGACCCAAACACACAACGGAGAGAGAACTACGCCATGCAGGTAATGACGTTTGGGGCTAGTTGCTCCCCCAGCTGTGCCCAGTACGTGAAGAACAGAAACGCGGAGTCGTTCAAGAAGGAATACCCACGCGCTGTGAAGTGCATATTGGAGAATCACTATGTAGACGACATGCTGGACAGCGTCGACACGGAGGAAGAAGCTATAAGCCTCGCGCGTCAGGTCCACTACATTCATCTTCAGGGCGGATTCCTCATTCGAAACTGGGTATCGAATTCCAAAGAAGTATTAAGCGCACTCGGCGAAGGAGCACCCACGCTAGTGAGACTGGACGAAACAACGGATGGACAGACCGAGAAGGTGCTGGGAATGTGGTGGGACACGAAAGAAGATCTCATCCGCTACCGTGTATCCCCACGATATAGCCATAAAGAACTTCTCCAAGGAAGGCAACGACCCACCAAACGAGAGTTTCTCAGTGTGTTGATGTCTATATATGATCCTTTAGGGCTCATATCCTTCTACGTGATGTATGCGAGAATAATATTTCAGGAAATATGGCGAAGTGGATGTACCTGGGATGACCCCATACCTGAGGCAGAATGGATTAAATGGAAGCGATGGCTTCGGTATATCCCGGACGTTGAGAAAATGACCATCCCAAGATGCCACATGAAGGAGTCGCTGATGGATTCAGAAGTGGAGATGCACACCTTCGTGGACGCAAGCGAGAATGGATTTGCCGCCGTGAGTTATATACGATTTCAAAATGAGGCAGGTATCCACTGCAGTCTACTGGGCAGCAAAACCAAGGTAGCCCCTCTAAGACCGACATCCATACCAAGGCTTGAACTCATGGGAGCAGTGCTTGGAGCGAGGTTGGCTCAAACTCTGGAGCTTTTACTTGGCGCGAAGCTGAGCACACGGACTTTCTGGACCGACTCGAGGACCGTGCTGAGTTGGCTGCGATCGGACCAGAGGAAGTACAAACAATTTGTAGCATTCCGTGTGATCGAGATTCTAGACGGTACTAGCGTCAAGGACTGGCGCTGGGTACCTTCCTCCGAGAACGTGGCGGACGACGCCACTAAGTGGAACAAAGGACCTGATTTCAACCGAGAAAGTCGATGGTTAAACGGGCCGAGATTTCTTTGGCAAGAGAGGCAATTTTGGCCGCTGACAGAGGCGGAAGAAGGAGACGAGTCAGGAATGGAACTGAAGGCGCAATTCATCGGCGTATGTGACGGATTCACAGACGTAGGCCGCGCGACCCTCATAGACTATGAGCGGTTCTCAATCTGGACCCGTCTGCTATGGAGTACCGCAAGAACGGTATGGTGTATGAGGCGATGGAAGGCCAAGGCTCTACAACGATCGGACATCGAAAATCAGCCATCACAAGAAGATACCAGGGTCGCGGAGAGTCTTCTGTGGTCGTACGCTCAGGCGGAGTACTACCAGACGGAGATACGGTTAATCTTACAGGGAAAACCATTGAAGAAGAATAACCTACTATACAAGCTGGGACCGTATATGGATTCCGATGGCGTATTAAACCGCGTCGTACTCCCCTGCAGCAGCCACATTACGCAGCTCATCATAAAGGAATTTCACCGAAGATTTCTGCACGCTAACCACGAGACGATGGTCAACGAACTACGACAAAGATTTTGGATACCAAAGCTGAGATCCACCCTTGCTCGGATACGACGCTCCTGCCAGCAATGCAAGAACCGACAGGCGGCCCCCAAACCACCGCGCATGGCGGAACTTCCCTATCCAAGAGTAGCGGCCTTTCATAGACCTTTCAGCTACACGGGTGTGGACTACTTTGGGCCTCTGATGGTGCGGGTCAGACGCAGTTCGGAGAAAAGATACGGCGTGCTCTTCACCTGCCTCTCTACAAGGGCAATACATCTAGAGGTAGCGTATTCATTAACAACTGACTCTTGTATTCTAGCGGTGCGCAGTTTTATGGCCCGACGAGGGTGCCCAGTGGAACTCTGGAGCGACAACGGCACAAATTTTCAAGGAGCCTGCACGGAGTTGCGTAGGGCGTTCGAAGATGTGGACAAGGATCTACTCTCTCGCGAGTTCACTGGACCCCAGATGACATGGAAGTTCATTCCACCCGCATCTCCCCACATGGGTGGGGCATGGGAGCGCTTGGTGCGTTCCGTGAAGACGGCGTTGGAATCTATCCTCCTTGACAAACGACCATCGGATGAGTTGCTGAGAGCCGCTCTAATGGAGGCGGAGGCGATCGTCAACTCGCGACCCCTAACATACATCCCATTGGAAGATGAGAACGAAGAATCACTGACACCGAATCATTTCCTGCTTGGAAGCTCAACTGGAAGAGGACCGACGATGGAGCCCCTACCCGAAGGAGTGCAGCTCAAGAAGAGCTGGATGGAATCACAACAACTGGCGGACTCGTTCTGGAGGCGATGGCTTCAAGAGTACCTGCCAGTGATCACTAGGCGGACCAAGTGGTGCGAAAAGGCTAAGCCTCTTGTAGAAGGGGATATCGTGTATGTGTGCGATCCCGGACAGCCGCGTAGCCAGTGGCCGAAAGGAAGAATCCTGAAGGTGAACCTTAGCTCGGACGGTCAAGTGAGGAGCGCCGCGGTGAGGACCCAATCTGGCGTTTATACAAGACCCGCGACGAAGCTGGCAGTTCTATCTATCGAGAGTAGTTTGGTAGATCCCTGGCGGAATATACAAGTGGGGAGTGTTACGATAGATAGCAAAACTGCTCCCGCGGCGGAGTTGCAGAACCGATAGTTTAAGCGGGTGTTAAATCTCTGTTAACTCAGCCGGTAACCATGTGCCTAAGCTTTCTTTTCTATTTGACACACGAGGGAAGCGGACGAAAAGTGAGGACATATTAATATTTAAGTTTGATTATGAATTGTACAACCTTTAATTTACTAGGAATTTAAAGTGCTGCTATCGCAGAGTGGTTACCGACTGTACCACTGTTAGCCCTTGTTGCCCCGTTATAAATGAAGTAAACAATAAACAATTATCAACAATTATCTACACGGGCGTCTTTACTCGGGCGGCGCTAAACAAATTCGAATTCCCGCAACATACTTATGTTGCATACATACATGTATGTTTAACTTATATTCTTAATCAGGATCACCTCCTGAGTTGATATGAGTATGTCCGTCTGTCTGTTTCTACGTAAACTAGTCTCTCAGTTTTAAAGCTATCGACTTAAAACTTTCGACTTGAGCTCACACCCTTCTTTCCTTTGCACGCAGTATATAAGTCAGAACGGCCGGGATCGGCCGACTATATTCTATAGCTGCCATATAACTGATTGATCGGAAAGGGTATAACTTTGGTGTTTTTAAAGTTAAAGAGTTCGGACTTTGTGTGAATGATATTGTTGGGCAAAATAATACGACTTACCAAATGTCATAAGGATCGGCCGACTTTTTCTTATAGCTGCCATATAACTGAAAGATCGGAAATAGTATTCGGTAAAAATACCAACTTTGCTAGAAAGAATTTCAAACATTTTATTATATATTTTATTCCAATAAATTGGTTTTATTCTGCTATTCCCATAAGGTTCGGCCAACTATATTTGATGCTTGCGATATACAGGGTGGGCCAATTAAAAATCAGCTTTTGAAATGGCTATAAAATAAAAACGCGTCAATTATTTTTCAATTCTGATTTTTTATTGTAAAGCTTAATTCTTCCGGTTTAATGAAGGAACACAACATCATTCATGTGGCTGCCGCGGCTGGCGTGGCAGTAGCCGATGCGATTAGACCAATTTTTGAGGACGTTCTCGAGCGTGTGGGGCTGTATCTGGCCAATAACTTCGCCGATTTCGGCTTTCAGGTCCTCAATTGTTTGTGGATTCTTGGAATAACATTTATCCTTAACGGCACCCCAGAGATAATAGTCCAATGGCGTCAAATCGTAGCTACGAGGCAACCAAGCGACCACGGCGCGCCGGCTAACAACGCGTTTGCCGAACTTGTCGCTCAGAAGATCGAATATAGCATTGCTTGTGTGGCACGGTGCGCCATTCTGTTGTCTTCCACGTCCATTTGGTCGATAATAGGCAGGCCCGTATCCAGAAATTTGTTTCGGGGGGGGGCTCAAGGACAAAAATCAATAAAAAATGTGGACTTATTCGAATAAATTCAGAAAAAGGCAAACCACTTATCAATCTTTAATCAGTCCGTGACGTTTGATCTTTTATTATTTATTGTGCTGGAAAAAGGTACAGTACGAAGTATAAGGTTACAATTAAGTTACTAATGTTAAAATATATTGAAGCATTATTTATGTTTCACATAAAACAGCTAAATGTGAATACAGTATGTATTTTCCTTTAGAACATACACCTTAAATAAGTAACTTCCTTAATTTTTTCTTCGCTAAACGGTCGAGAACTTCCTCCGGATCAACAACAGTATCCCAGTGAATTGACATCATCGCGAGTGCACTTAGTCTGTCGTGGCCCATCACACTACGAGGTAGAGTTTTTATCCTCTTCATTGTTGAAAACGTTCTTTCGACGCTAGCCGTTGTGACTGGAAGAGTAGCCATGTTCCATCAGAAAAAATGTTCCATCACAACACTCCAACAGTCTCAAAATTTCGGTTGATGGGTCAATTGATGAAATTTTGGTACACCATAACTTGTACTCAGCTTGAACTGCGGACAATGGCATTTCGTCTTGAAAGTATGGACCTAATTCTTCCAGTTCATCAATTTTTTTCTTGCAAGCATATCCTGGCAGTAGCAGTTAAAAACTGGATAAAATATCTTCGTTCTTGATGAATCTGTCCGTCAAATTTTGTATCAAAGTATCGATGCAAGGAATGAATGTGTTGACTCTGAAATACTCTTCATTCGATGTCGTTTGCGGATTCGCACGAGATTTTTGTCGTGACGTAACTCTGGGAGCTTGAATTTCAATGTCGAAAAGATCTGCAAACAATTTTGATGCTACTTGAAAAATGTCTCTGAAAGTGTCGTTAGCTGTTTCCCGCATTTGTCGGAGTGAACTCAATACTTCATTTGTATACTGTACAGCGGAAACTAAATCTGATGATTTATTTTGGAGGAAAATCGACAGTGGAAGGGTCAAACTGAACAGTTTTTCGCAAACAACAAGGCTGACTAAAAATTCACTTTTTTGACTTGCTGCGTGAAGAGTTGATGCCGTTGAAGAAATAGTATACGTTTTTTGAGCGATTTCTTCTAAAGCTTTAACAATGCATTCAAGAAGTTCCAAAAACACAATAATACTGTCATGCCTTTCGATAATGCAATTATAACAGAGCATAGAAGAGCACATGGAAATAGCAATTAAAACAAACAACAATTACTAAACAAAGTGTAAACTTAAGGAAAGTAATTTCTTCAGATGAGGGCTAAAATAATAAAAATTCTAAAAGAATGCCAAATTTGTAAAGAACAGAAATACGAAAGACACCCCAACAAACCAGAGTTCCAAAAAAATCAAATTATTCGCGTCGATTTTTACCTTACTTGCAAACAAGTTGTTTTGACTGCAATAGATAAATTTTAAAAATTTGCACAAGCCAGGATAGTCAAATCTCGAGCAACCCAGGACATAAAAGAACCTTTAAAAGAATTATTTATCAATTTTGGTATCCCAGAAATGGTAATCATAGATAATGAGAAAGCACTTGGTTCGGCACCCGTAATGCTGATGCTACAAGATCAATGAAATATTGAAGTAAAGCACCCCCATATAACAGCTCAGCAAACGGCAAAATCGAACGCTTCCATTCCACACTGTCCGAAATTATTCGTTGCCAAAAAGCAGACAAAGTACACGCATCGTTAAGAGATCTTATAGACAGATCAGTTGTCAAATATTAGTAACACACAGATATTAGGAGATGAAGAGGTAAATGAAGTTATAAAAACTTTAGATCAAGACCAGTGGAGATGACCAGTTTTTAAGGTGGAGGAGTTAACACAAAACGAATTCGCAACCGAAGTTGGCCACGCGCATCCGGCATTGCAGCAGCAAGCAAAAGTGCAAGGGCAATTTCCCGGCTTCGGTCAATAGCTCCCAAGAGGTGCTGACTGCAGCGTCTGATCCACTTCCCGCTGCAGCGAAGACAACGGCAAAGCTCCGACGTTGGCAGAGGCAGCGACTAAGCTATTGGATGTACAAATTTCAATTTTTGTAAAAATAATTTAGTTCCAATTTTTGTACTAATGAATACGGACCAAGTGTCCAACAAAATTATATTTTTTTAAAAATAATAAACCCAAGTGTTTAACTTATATTCTTAATCAGGATCACCTCCTGAGTTGATATGAGTATGTCCGTCTGTCTGTTTCTACGCAAACTAGTCTCTCAGTTTTAAAGCTATCGACTTGAGCTCACACCCTTCTTTCCTTTGCACGCAGTATATAAGTCAGAACGGCCGGGATCGGCCGACTATATTCTATAGCTGCCATATAACTGATTGATCGGAAAGGGTATAACTTTGTTGTTTTTAAAGTTAAAGAGTTCGGACTTTGTGTGAATGATATTGTTGGCAAAATAATACGACTTACCAAATGTCATAAGGATCGGCCGACTTTTTCTTATAGCTGCCATATTACTGAAAGATCGGAAATGGTATTCGGTAAAAATACCAACATTGCTAGAAAGAATTTCAAACATTTTATTATATATTTTATTCCAATAAATTGGTTTTATTCTGCTATTCCCATAAGGTTCGGCCAACTATATTTGATGCTTGCGATATACAGGGTGGGCCAATTAAAAATCAGCTTTTGAAATGGCTATAAAATAAAAACGCGTCAATTATTTTTCAATTCTGATTTTTTATTGTAAAGCTTAATTCTTCCGGTTTAATGAAGGAACACAACATCATTCATGTGGCTGCCGCGGCTGGCGTGGCAGTAGCCGATGCGATTAGACCAATTTTTGAGGACGTCCTCGAGCGTGTGGGGCTGTATCTGGCCAATAACTTCGCCGATTTCGGCTTTCAGGTCCTCAATTGTTTGTGGATTCTTGGAATAACATTTATCCTTAACGGCACCCCAGAGATAATAGTCCAATGGCGTCAAATCGTAGCTACGAGGCAACCAAGCGACCACGGCGCGCCGGCTAACAACGCGTTTGCCGAACTTGTCGCTCAGAAGATCGAATATAGCATTGCTTGTGTGGCACGGTGCGCCATTCTGTTGTCTTCCACGTCCATTTGGTCGATAATAGGCAGGCCCGTATCCAGAAATTTGTTTCGGTAGGGGCTCAAGGAAAAAAATCAATAAAAATGTGGACTTATTCGAATAAATTCAGAAAAAGGCAAACCACTTATCAATCTTTAATCAGTCCGTGACGTTTGATCTTTTATTATTTATTGTGCTGGAAAAAGGTACAGTACGAAGTATAAGGTTACAATTAAGTTACTAATGTTAAAATATATTGAAGCATTATTTATGTTTCACATAAAACAGCTAAATGTGAATACAGTATGTATTTTCCTTCAGAACATACACCTTAAATAAGTAACTTCCTTAATTTTTTCTTCGCTAAACGGTCGAGAACTTCCTCCGGATCAACAACAGTATCCCAGTGAATTGACATCATCGCGAGTGCACTTAGTCTGTCGTGGCCCATCACACTACGAGGTAGAGTTTTTATCCTCTTCATTGTTGAAAACGTTCTTTCGACGCTAGCCGTTGTGACTGGAAGAGTAGCCATGTTCCATCAGAAAAAATGTTCCATCACAATACTCCAACAGTCTCAAAATTTCGGTTGATGGGTCAATTGATGAAATTTTGGTACACCATAACTTGTACTCAGCTTGAACTGCGGACAATGGCATTTCGTCTTGAAAGTATGGACCTAATTCTTCCAGTTCATCAATTTTTTTCTTGCAAGCATATCCTGGCAGTAACAGTTGAAAACTGGATAAAATATCTTCGTTCTTGATGAATCTGTCCGTCAAATTTTGTATCAAAGTATCGATGCAAGGAATGAATGTGTTGACTCTGAAATACTCTTCATTCGATGTCGTTTGCGGATTCGCACGAGATTTTTGTCGTGACGTAACTCTGGGAGCTTGAATTTCAATGTCGAAAAGATCTGCAAACAATTTTGATGCTACTTGAAAAATGTCTCTGAAAGTGTCGTTAGCTGTTTCCCGCATTTGTCGGAGTGAACTCAATACTTCATTTGTATACTGTACAGCGGAAACTAAATCTGATGATTTATTTTGGAGGAAAATCGACAGTGGAAGGGTCAAACTGAACAGTTTTTCGCAAACAACAAGGCTGACTAAAAATTCACTTTTTTGACTTGCTGCGTGAAGAGTTGATGCCGTTGAAGAAATAGTATACGTTTTTTGAGCGATTTCTTCTAAAGCTTTAACAATGCATTCAAGAAGTTCCAAAAACACAATAATACTGTCATGCCTTTCGATAATGCAATTATAACAGAGCATAGAAGAGCACATGGAAATAGCAATGAAAACAAACAACAATTACTAAACAAAGTGTAAACTTAAGGAAAGTAATTTCTTCAGATGAGGGCTAAAATAATAAAAATTCTAAAAGAATGCCAAATTTGTAAAGAACAGAAATACGAAAGACACCCCAACAAACCAGAGTTCCAAAAAAATCAAATTATTCGCGTCGATTTTTACCTTACTTGCAAACAAGTTGTTTTGACTGCAATAGATAAATTTTAAAAATTTGCACAAGCCAGGATAGTCAAATCTCGAGCAACCCAGGACATAAAAGAACCTTTAAAAGAATTATTTATCAATTTTGGTATCCCAGAAATGGTAATCATAGATAATGAGAAAGCACTTGGTTCGGCACCCGTAATGCTGATGCTACAAGATCAATGAAATATTGAAGTAAAGCACCCCCATATAACAGCTCAGCAAACGGCAAAATCGAACGCTTCCATTCCACACTGTCCGAAATTATTCGTTGCCAAAAAGCAGACAAAGTACACGCATCGTTAAGAGATCTTATAGACAGATCAGTTGTCAAATATTAGTAACACACAGATATTAGGAGATGAAGAGGTAAATGAAGTTATAAAAACTTTAGATCAAGACCAGTGGAGATGACCAGTTTTTAAGGTGGAGGAGTTAACACAAAACGAATTCGCAACCGAAGTTGGCCACGCGCATCCGGCATTGCAGCAGCAAGCAAAAGTGCAAGGGCAATTTCCCGGCTTCGGTCAATAGCTCCCAAGAGGTGCTGACTGCAGCGTCTGATCCACTTCCCGCTGCAGCGAAGACAACGGCAAAGCTCCGACGTTGGCAGAGGCAGCGACTAAGCTATTGGATGTACAAATTTCAATTTTTGTAAAAATAATTTAGTTCCAATTTTTGTACTAATGAATACGGACCAAGTGTCCAACAAAATTATATTTTTTTAAAAATAATAAACCCAAGTGTTTAACTTATATTCTTAATCAGGATCACCTCCTGAGTTGATATGAGTATGTCCGTCTGTCTGTTTCTACGCAAACTAGTCTCTCAGTTTTAAAGCTATCGACTTGAGCTCACACCCTTCTTTCCTTTGCACGCAGTATATAAGTCAGAACGGCCGGGATCGGCCGACTATATTCTATAGCTGCCATATAACTGATTGATCGGAAAGGGTATAACTTTGTTGTTTTTAAAGTTAAAGAGTTCGGACTTTGTGTGAATGATATTGTTGGCAAAATAATACGACTTACCAAATGTCATAAGGATCGGCCGACTTTTTCTTATAGCTGCCATATAACTGAAAGATCGGAAATAGTATTCGGTAAAAATACCAACTTTGCTAGAAAGAATTTCAAACATTTTATTATATATTTTATTCCAATAAATTGGTTTTATTCTGCTATTCCCATAAGGTTCGGCCAACTATATTTGATGCTTGCGATATACAGGGTGGGCCAATTAAAAATCAGCTTTTGAAATGGCTATAAAATAAAAACGCGTCAATTATTTTTCAATTCTGATTTTTTATTGTAAAGCTTAATTCTTCCGGTTTAATGAAGGAACACAACATCATTCATGTGGCTGCCGCGGCTGGCGTGGCAGTAGCCGATGCGATTAGACCAATTTTTGAGGACGTTCTCGAGCGTGTGGGGCTGTATCTGGCCAATAACTTCGCCGATTTCGGCTTTCAGGTCCTCAATTGCTTGTGGATTTGTGGATCGGAATAACATTTATCCTTAACGGCACCCCAGAGATAATAGTCCAATGGCGTCAAATCGTAGCTACGAGGCAACCAAGCGACCACGGCGCACCGGCTAACAACGCGTTTGCCGAACTTGTCGCGCAGAAGATCGAATATAGCATTGCTTGTGTGGCACGGTGCGCCATTCTGTTGTCTTCCACGTCCATTTGGTCGATAAGAGGCAGGCCCGTATCCAGAAATTTGTTTCGGGGGGGCTCAAGGACAAAAATCAATAAAAAATGTGGACTTATTCGAATAAATTCAGAAAAAGGCAAACCACTTATCAATCTTTAATCAGTCCGTGACGTTTGATCTTTTATTATTTATTGTGCTGGAAAAAGGTACAGTACGAAGTATAAGGTTACAATTAAGTTACTAATGTTAAAAATATATTGAAGCATTATTTATGTTTCACATAAAACAGCTAAATGTGAATACAGTATGTATTTTCCTTCAGAACATACACCTTAAATAAGTAACTTCCTTAATTTTTTCTTCGCTAAACGGTCGAGAACTTCCTCCGGATCAACAACAGTATCCCAGTGAATTGACATCATGGCGAGTGCACTTAGTCTGTCGTGGCCCATCACACTACGAGGTAGAGTTTTTATCCTCTTCATTGTTGAAAACGTTCTTTCGACGCTAGCCGTTGTGACTGGAAGAGTAGCCATGTTCCATCAGAAAAAATGTTCCATCACAACACTCCAACAGTCTCAAAATTTCGGTTGATGGGTCAATTGATGAAATTTTGGTACACCATAACTTGTACTCAGCTTGAACTGCGGACAATGGCATTTCGTCTTGAAAGTATGGACCTAATTCTTCCAGTTCATCAATTTTTTTCTTGCAAGCATATCCTGGCAGTAACAGTTGAAAACTGGATAAAATATCTTCGTTCTTGATGAATCTGTCCGTCAAATTTTGTATCAAAGTATCGATGCAAGGAATGAATGTGGTGACTCTGAAATACTCTTCATTCGATGTCGTTTGCGGATTCGCACGAGATTTTTGTCGTGACGTAACTCTGGGAGCTTGAATTTCAATGTCGAAAAGATCTGCAAACAATTTTGATGCTACTTGAAAAATGTCTCTGAAAGTGTCGTTAGCTGTTTCCCGCATTTGTCGGAGTGAACTCAATACTTCATTTGTATACTGTACAGCGGAAACTAAATCTGATGATTTATTTTGGAGGAAAATCGACAGTGGAAGGGTCAAACTGAACAGTTTTTCGCAAACAACTAGGCTGACTAAAAATTCACTTTTTTGACTTGCTGCGTGAAGAGTTGATGCCGTTGAAGAAATAGTATACGTTTTTTGAGCGATTTCTTCTAAAGCTTTAACAATGCATTCAAGAAGTTCCAAAAACTCAATAATACTGTCATGCCTTTCGATAAATCTTGTGTCACAAAGCTGGAGAAGTCGTTTCTTTTTACTGTCTGGAGCATGTTTTTGAATAGTTTCTTGAAAAATTTTATTTGCATTCGAATGATTCCTGAGCAAATTTACAATTTGACTATCAACTCCAAGACAGTTACGTATTGCTGGAGCAGACATGGCATTCGACAGAGCAAGGTTCAAACGGTGACTGGCACAATGAATGTATCTTGCCTTGGGATAATTTTCTCTTATTCTTGTTTGGACTCCACTCAAATGACCTGCCATATTGGCTGCCCCATCGTATACTTGCCCAACACACTTACTCATATCAAGATTGAGCTCATCACATCGCTGCAAAATAACGTTCGCCAGATTTTCAGAAGACTGATCGTTGATTGGGATGTTTGCGACAAAATCTTCACGAAGAACAGGAGCTTGGAGATCTTGGATATGGATCTCTATCTCTAAATATATCTGATCCCAAATAAAAAACTTCTTAATTGTTATATTTTTTTTTTATTTGAAAACATCGATGTTTCATCGAAACTTTCAAAACATCGAAAACATCGATGGTCCCAAACATCGATTGTTTTCTAGCTCTAATACGTTCCTGTTAGGTCAGGTTTCTTCTACTAAAGACTTTTAGATGAAAAATCTTAAATAGGAAAAATTTTTAATTCAAAGATTTCGGGGGGGGGGCCCGGGCCCCTATTTCTTTACTTAATTCATGAACAAATTTTGAATAGCAATTTAAAAAAAATTTATTTAGTATTTTTTGCCCTAATGTTATCGAAAAACAAAAATAGACGACTATGATGAAAGAATATGTAATTGAACTGTTCCCCAGATTTTATTGGACCGCTGATTTTCAGTAGCGTCGCAGCACGTTAAGCCTAGTACTCAGATCGAAAATCATGCTTAAAGCCTGGTACTTAGATCGACAAAAACTGTTTTATGACATTAGTTATGGGAGTGAACGAGAGGCAAATAGGTGACAAACAGTTTTTAACAGGGTCTTTTCGTCACGCCGTACTCAGATCAAAACCATAACATTACATGGGGATGCAAACACGCACCTAAGATTGTTCTACATAGGGTGACCAGATAGCTGAGGTGGGAAATACGGACACCGCCGTTTTGTCGTATCCACCCCCCCCCCCCCCCCCCCCGCTATATTGAAATTATACTTTGCATATTCTTGATTGACTGATTGAGAATAAAAAAGTCAGCTGTTACAGAAATACACAAAGCAACGCTAAAAGCAATGTACATATGTACGCGACAGTATGCATACATACATAGCAAACCGAACAACCAGACGCAATCGTACCATATTTCTAGGGAATTTTACCGTTAACGCGTGCTAAACTAATTGCGCGTTCTCTACGTCAGCTGCGAGCGCGGGCGCTTTCGAATGTTTAAGTCTAGAAACTCCTTTCGGAAAAATTGCAGGTGCAACCTGTTTTTTCGTTAAAAACGCGAAAAATACGGACATTTTACAAAAAAAATACGGACGAACGGACACAGAGCTGAAAATACGGACATGTCCGTATTAATACGCACGCCTGGTCACCCTAGTTCTACATGTCCCCAGCGCACAGTGGTTGATTCCATAGGCCAAAAATAAAAAAACAAAAGTCCGAATTTGGTCACTTTTTGTCTTTAAAATATTCCCTAACAGATTAATAAAAAGAACTGTATTTTCATTTTTGTCCTCTCTCTTTCCTTCGCAGCTTGAAAATTAGCTCTAACAAAAAAATTTAATGAAAATATTAAATCGAGTCTAATCGTCATCCAATAAAATGAATTATGAAAATAAAGGCATGTACTATAAAACTGAGTAATTTTTTTGTCATTATGTGTTGTGTTTTTCTTTTAAAGCCTAGTACTGTGACGACGAAAATCCGCTGTCGAAAATCCGCTAGCAAAATCGCACTTTATTTGGAAAAGGGTAATACTGAACAGCTGTTGTTTGTAAACAAATAAAAAAGAAAACACATAAGCAAAAATGAATTCAAACCGATTTGATTTTGGTGTTTTCTTTATGTATTTCGCCGCTAAGGAGCTGATTAAGAAAAAGAAAACTGGGTCAAAATCAAAATCAATCACAAATCATTTCAATGCCATTTTATGGAATTAAAATGCCCCTTGTGGGTCAAATCCCATATTATGGGCTTCGCCTTGACCGCATTAATTAGCTTGACTTTATCCTCGCGGGCCGAAAATTTTTCGCTCCGACAATTTTTTTCTTTCAAATTTTCGCTCCATGTTTTAGCTATCAAAATAAATCAAATGAATTCTTTTTACACCCCAAAATCAGCTGTTTATTTTTTTTGATCCGGCAACGCCATTCAATTCGATAGCTAAAATTTTCGTCGTCAGAGTACCGGAAAAATCTAGGAGGCAAAAACTTCTTCTTCTTCCTTTTTTTACACCATTTTTTTTATATGGAGTTTGGCAGCTGTCACTCGTGCGATAGCGGATTTTCGTCGTCAGAGTACTAGGCTTCAAGTTAGTGTTTCATCAGTGACCTATCGACTGGCGAATTATCGACTGGCGGTGTATACATAGAATTAAAATAAAAAAAAAGTTTTGATACTAGTCTTTCCCAATGACAAAACTTTTTTATTAATACTAATTAATGTATTCTTAGACTATGTTTTACATTTAAGCTGCAACTTTTGGCAACTTTCCGACTTATTCCATTTTTTGTGTTCGAGCTAATTTTGTGTTTTGTTGTTTTCGTGCATATTTTGTGTTTTATTGTGTTTGTCATATTCGTCCGTCAAAACTGAATATATATCGCAAACATAGAATCCGTCAAAGTTCCAACTTTCTTTTTTCAAAAACATGAAAGTTGGATAATTTCGGTTTTTTCAGTTATATGGCAGCTATAGGATATAGTCGGCTGATCCTTATGAAATTTGGCATGTTGTATTATTTTGACAAAAATAGCAGTCGTACCAAATCAGAACTCTCTAACTGTAAAAACACTAAAGTTATAGCAGTTTCGATCAATCAGTTGTATGGCAGCTATATGATATAGTTGCCCAATCTGGCTGATTTTAATATATTATTTTATAATAAAAATATAAATATTTTGTGCCAAGTTTCCAGTCCCTACCTCAACTATTTTCAACTACCTCAACTCAAGTATTTTTGGCCGCTCTCTTCGTACAAGCCGGACCACTGTGCAGCGAATAGATTAAAAATTTTAATCTTGTACCACGTTTGACAGGGTCATCGAAATACTCAAAAGACATCTTTCAAGCTTTTTTATTGTAATCTGATCTGAGCACTGGGCTAAAAAACAAATGTTAAGCTACATCTTAAGCAAATTAAAAAAACGATCTCATACCTAGTACTGAGATCGAAAACCACGTTTGACGAGTAAAAACGTTTATTCTTACCAGTGTGAACGACTATTTTTTAGTTACGCACTACGGCCTCACCTAAATTAAATTTTGTGGTTTTTTTACCTATTTGGTTTAAAAATATTAAAATAAAATGATTTTGGGTCAAATTGTACAATTGGTTTCATGAATTTGGAATCAAAATTTGGAGTTTCGCACAAATCTGATAGGTCGAAAAGAATTTCTACTAATATATGTAATTAGATATATAATTTTTAGCGCAACAAATCAAAGTTTAATAACTCGAATTTGGCAAGCATTTGATTTTGATTTTGATTTTCTACATTATTAAAACAACAAAAAACAAAATATGCCTTGCAAGTATTTCACTGACCCTGTCAAACTGGATGAAAGATTCAAATTTTATAATCTTTTCTCCTTAGCGAAAGAATTTTCTTTGGTGTGACCCTGCCAAAAACTGTTTTTCACGTATTCGCCTCTCGCCCACTCTCATTAACTGAAAACCGTTTTTGTCCATATGCGTACCAGGCTTCAAGAGTTAATTTGTTATCGGTATATTTTACGGTTGTTAAAACGGTCATACTGCACCCCGCACTGTACTGTTGGACAGTACTGTTTGACAATTATAAACATATTGAGATTTTAAATGTTAAACAATTGCCTTAACAAAATCCGTCACATATAAAATATACATAATACCATTCTTAAACAAAATATGTTTTCTGTGACTTGTGTAGCTCCTGTAAATATAGCTCTAATTAAATATTGTGAGTAAATATTTGTAAGTGAAAGTTTTGTATAAACAAAATATTTTCCAGGGGGAAAACGCAACGAAGATCTGATACTTCCTATTAACGATTCTGTCAGCATGACTTTAAGCACAGCTGAGGTGAATATTATCTTAAGAAATATTGATCATATCATTAAAAAAAAATATTAAAATTTTTAAACCTTACATTTCTAAGTTATTCTTATATCCATGAGTATACATACATATATATAAAAGTATGTACAAATGTTTAATACGAAATAATCAAATCTGTTTGTCTGAATAAATGATATACGACTCCAAAGGTAGATCATTTTCAGGTAGTTAGATCATTTTTATCAAATCATTTGACAAAAAGTCTATTATTTCGGGGCCAATTTGCTTAAATTCGAAAGGATTTTCATTCTCAAAATTGAGGATAGTAGACATACTGGAGTCTTAAAGGTTTTTCAACAGGGGTGCGTCAACTTTATTTTTTAATAAAACACAAACGGTTTGACTTTTCAACTAACTTTTTTTTTTATTATCGAATTTGAACATATACATTTAATCATGAAACTCGATTTCTTTCGCATGACCACCGTGTGCACGTTTTACGAAGTCCAATCGTTGAACCCAATTTTCAACCACTTTTTCGCATAAATCGGTCAAAATTCCAGCAATTTCGCGTTCAATATTGGCTCTGAGCTCTTGCAACGTCGCCGGCTTATTGGCATAGACCAATGACTTCACGTAACCTCAAAGAAAATAGTCTAGAGGTGTCAAATCACACGAGCGCGGCGGCCACTCAACCGGTTCATTTCGCGAAATAACACGCTCATTAAACTTAGTTTTCAATATTGCGATTGTAGCGTGTGTTGTGTGGCCCCATCCTGTTGAAAATAAATGTCGTTCACGTCCATTCCATCCAATAGCGGCGAACAAAAATCGTTTATCATATCGCGGTAGCGATTTCCATTCACAGTAACGTGGCGATCGTTATCGTCGACGAAAAAATATGGCCCAATGATGCCGCCAGCATATAATCCGCACCAAACAGTGATTTTTTCGGGATGCAACGGTGCCTCACGAATAGAGGTTTGACAATAACAAGATTTGAAACATCGATGTTTTCTAACAAGATGTTTTATAACATCGAAACTTTCGATGTTTTGGAGCGAAAACATCGATACTAATCGATACATCGAACAAATTTTAAACAAAATAACACAAATTTATTCAAGTTTTAAAATAAAGTAAAGTAAAATAAAGTAAAGTAAAGTAAAATAAAGTAAAAATTAATTAAAGTTGAGATTAAAGTTTCTGTTCATAAAAAGTAATTTGTCTACTACGGCAGGCTTCAGCGAGCACCTCCGATCTGAAATGAGCGGTCCGGCCTTGCTGAACATACGCTCGGAGTCGCAAGAAGTGGCTGGAACGCACATATGCTTCTTGACAATAAATTTCCAAACTTCTTCGTCCGTGTTCTAAAAAATAAGAAAATAATTAATTTTGGCATTCTTGTAGAACATTTTCAAAATACCTTCCAAAAATGCAAAGGATTCAAATCCTCGTCGGTATTTGCTTTAAGCAAATATTGCCTCAGCAAAATAATTGCATCTGCTTTGTTGGAGCTGGGCTTGGACGAAATTGTACTTTGTAGAAATTCAAAATGTGATCGCTTTGGAAGATCGGGTGGTGTTGAATGCGTATTTGTAAATATGGAGGACAATTTTTCTGAAAGTTCTTGTTCTAAAACCTTTGCAGCTCCGTCGGTATTAAAAAGAGTGTAAAAAACCATCTTTTTTAAATCGTGGGACGATTAAAGTTGCTATTATGGGTATGGTCATTTTTTCATAAGCTGCGAACCGTTCAGGCAATCGTTTTAAGGGGAGGGTAAGGTCAAATCATGCGAAAAAAGCCATTTTTTTGTGATTTTTTTCCTGACGACACAGTTAAAATTTATTTATTCAACCAACGGTATATTAAAGTATGACATTAGAAGAATGTTTTATCAAATTTTTACAAAAAAATATTTAAAAATATGACAATGGTAGCAATTGTCCGGACGTGTCGCCAAAAAAAGTTGAATTGCGGTGCCCCTCATAACTCGGTGCTGGATCATGTGAAATCAAAAAATGAAAGTTCATTCGTTAGATAATTGCAATTTTTTAATTTTTTCGAAGACTGTGAAGTGAAAAACACAATTTTTGGGGAAATAATCTGTTAATTTGTCATTGCGAAATCAAAATTATGAACAAAAAAAAAACTCGACAGCGTTACCTCGTAAAATATGTACAGAAATAGTGTTTAAAATTTCAGAAGGATCGGTGCAGTAGTTTTGAAGTTTTGAGGGGTACCCACTTTGATAACGTGAGTTGTGGGAAAACGCTTTAAAGTTTTAAACACAAAAAATCCCGTGTAAAACGTTTATAAGCAACTTCGTTAATAACTAATAACTTCGTCAATTTTGCTTTAATTGACTTGAAATTTTGACACAATATTCTTCAGATATTATGCATTCAATTTAAAAAATAAAAAAATAATGAAAAAAAAAATTTATTACCTTACCCTCCCCTTAATAGTTGCTTTATGACTTCTTTGGCACACTCAGATTTAACTTTGCTACCAAGATGAAACATTTTTTGATGAACTTCTGCTATTATTGGTATAATCAAAGAAACAGTTACCGTTGTATTTCCAGACACTTGCAGAGTTGCATCATTAAATGGTTTTAGAATATCTATAAGTTCGGTAATTTTTTCTATTTCATCTGATGACAACGGAAGTGGAGCTTTAGGTGAATGAAGAAGTACTTGACCAATGTAGGGGTTTAAAATTCTTATCCGTTCCATCATTAAAAATGCGCTGTTCCATCTGGTAGCCACTTCTTGAAGAACACCCAATGGTTTATCCAAATTTTGCGCCTCTTTTAATTTTTCATTTTCCACAGTGCTTGATTTAAAGAAAGACACTTTGCGCTTACATTTAACAAATATTTCATTTAAACTCGCCAACTTTAAAACATCTTGAACAACTAGGTTCAACGTGTGTAAAAAACAAGGCAAATTTTTTATTTGCTACAACTCGCAAGACTTTTTAATTGTGGCATCATTGTCAGTTACGATGCACATAATTTTTTTGTTTATATCCCATTCTGTGATTATAGCTAATATTGTTTCTGATATGTTTTGTGCTGTATGGATTGTAGGCGTCAACAGTTTACGAGTCGTCAAGACTGCCGAGACTAAGTCAAAACTTGTATTTATAAAATGACAAGTTACTGTAATATACCCGTCTAACGATTTTGACGTCCAGCAATCTGCTGTCAAGGATACATGGAAGACGTCTTTTAAAACTAAGTTTAGGCGCTTTTTAATAATATTATAATTTTTGTCAAGAAGCTCATAACGAAAAAATTTTTTGTTGGGTATTTTATAGCGAGCATCTGTATTTTTTTTTTCGGTAGATAAGCGAAATTAAAAAATACACTTCTTTTTATTTTTTTTTTTTAAGGTTGGTTTTTCTTAATTTTTTTTTATAAAAAGCAAAAAAAAAAAAGCGAATTTTTTAAACTAAGCGAAATTAATGATTTAATTGTATTATAATGCAACAAACACAAAAACTCAATAATATACAACTAAATATAATATTTACCTGTTTTTAAACATTAATTGAATCAACTATACATTTTTTTTTGTTTTTTTATATTTTGGATCAGAAACTGCACAACCAACATTCACAAAATTGGCGGGAAAAGTAATCACCTGTTGAGTATTGGACAGAATACTGAGTGATCAACTCAGTGATCAACTGAGTTCCTGTTTTGTAACGCAGTTTGATGAATAATTGAATTTAAACGGTATGATGCAGATCTGCATCACCACCATGTAAAGGGTTAATGGCTGCAAATCAATTGCAATCATTCGGACAATAGCATTGTCTATTGCACTTTTTCGTGCTGAGCCGTTTTCATAGGGTTTTACGTTGCTTATAAATTTATCAAGTTTTGAGTTATGGTCACTCTTGTTTTATTCGTCGCAAAATTTATGTGTATTTTTAAGATTATGTAAAAGATTGGTCCTTTTGTTTTTAACTTGGACGAGCAATGATTGCAAATAACCTCTTGGCCGCCTGGACATTTTTATACCCTTGCAGAGGGTATTATAATTTTGTCCAAAAGTGTGCAACGCAGTGAAGGAGACATCTCGGACCCTATAAAGTATATATATTCTTGATCATCTATTCTTCTCCTATAGCTGGCCATATAACTGAACGATCGGAAATGACCCAACTTTCGTGTTTTGAAGATAGAAAGCTGGAACTTGGTACAAATTCTATTTTTGGTCAGTTTATCCGACCTACCGAATTTCATAACGATCGGCCGACTATATCTTATAGCTGCCATATAACTGAACGATCGGAAATGGTTTTTGGTAGAAATACCAACTTTGGTATGTTTGAAGATAGAAGTTTAGGACTTTTTTTAGATTTTGTATTGTAATAAATTGGATTATATATTCATATTCCCATAAGGAGCGGCCAACTATATCCGATGTTTGCGATATATATCCGGTTTTAACTGCAAGGGTATATACACTTCGGCTCCGCCCGAAGTTAGCTTTCCTTTCTTGTTTAAAATGATTCCACACAAACGAAGCCTCTCTACGACGCTTACCCACTTGGTTTTGCGGTTCCTCGACATTCTCCTTTTCTTTGTCATCCGTTTCTTGTAAATCCTTACTTTCATTTGCCACAACTACAAAAGAAAAAGTATTTAGTTATTAAAATTGAAATAATGTGGAGTGGGAACACAAAAAATATAATTTATTGTGGCATATGTGCATGTGCACGTGACACATAAGAACATTGCACTCATTAAAACTTACCTTTCAGAAATCGGTCCATCGCTTATCTTAAAATAGCACTCAACACCACCAATCAATTGAATTCCGAATAGACGCTCAATTTGAATGATTCTATATTAGTATATTTAATGTAAAATAAATTATACGCAGCTATTGGTACTTACCTCTTTGTCACTTTTTCTTATTGTGAAAAAAGTGATGGGAAAATTTTCAATTCAACCATCGATGTTAAACAAAAATATCGATGTTTATATCGATACTAGAAATTATGCATCGATGTTGGGTATTTTTTTCAAACATCGATACATCGGTAAAACATCGATGGTTCGTCAATAGAGGTGCAAAAACATCGATGTATGGAGACATCAAAAACATCGATGTTTTTAAAAATTAAAAAAATATTTTTTAAATAAGTTAAATAGATAAATAGACATACGGTTTTAATAAAATTCAAAAAAAAATATTTATTTCTTTTGCCTTAAATTAATAACAACAAATTAGATCATTGGTTATTCAGACATTGGTGATTTTTGTTGATAAACATTAATTTGTCAACAATATCTGAGTTAAGGCGGGTCCTGCGGTCGGAAATAATTTTTCCAGCTTTGCTAAAGGCTCTTTCAGACTCGCAGGACGTGGCAGGCACACACATAAATTTTTTTACTACCTCTATGAAGGCCGCCATACTGTTCGAAGACTCCTCAAAGTAGACTCCAAAATCTGCTCATTTACGTACCTCTTCTTTGCTTGTTCTCTTGATAGGGACGGCACAAAAACATCGATGGTCAAAAAAAAACATCGATGTTTTGGAAAATTCAAAAAACATCGATACATCGATGTTTTTAGCACCTCTATTCGTCAAGCCTTTACTCACGAACCACGTATGGGTTGCTTCCTGCACAGTAACGCATATTTTGCTTGTTGACAAATCCATTTAGCCAAAAGTGAGCCTCATCGCTGAAAATGATTTTTCGGAAATCTGCATCATTTTTTGAATTGCTCTTGAGCCCAGTTCACGAATCGGCGTCGCTTCAAATGGTCAATCGGCTTTAGTTCTTGTGTCAGCTTGATCTTATATGGATGTAAGGCAAGATCTTTACGCAAAATTCGCCACAATCACGTCACAAAAAGGCCCAATTGTTGCGAACGTCCTGTGAGCGACACATTCGCGTCTTCTTGAACTGAAGCGCTGGCGGCTGCGATGTTTTCATCACTACGAGCACTTCTTGCTCTCACGGGCACCGGAACGTTATGTAGCGAAAACGTAGACTCAAATTTTGCCACTAGACGGTCGATTTTCGAACGGGCTGGCTTGTTAAATGGACCGTGAAATGGCCGTAATGCTCTTAAAGTAGCAGCAACAGAACGATTATTTTGATAAAAAATTTGCACAATTTGCAATCGCTGATGAGTGTGTAGCGTTCCATGATGAAATGTATAAAATGAAGTTTTATATGTCAAGAGAACAAGGAAAAACATGGCGAAGAGATGAGCGAAGGGTCGTCTCGTACTCAATTTCCGCCTGCATCGTCGCTACGAGCTCCGAAACAGTCCATCGCAGGTCACTGCTGATCTGCAAAATGTTTAAATCCTCAAGCTCCCCGTGGATGGCCTTAAAGTCGCTGAACATGGTGGCTATCTGATCATGTCGCACGTGTAGCATGGCATCATCCACCTTGGAAATAGGCTGAAGAGCTCCTTGGATCCTCTGTAAGTCCTAGAGAATACCCAGGGCCTTGCACTTTAAAATAGCACTCCGGGTTGGAGTGGGTGCTCCTGTGACGGCGCCGCTGGAGTTCATGATTTATTATATTGAATTCCGAACAACCCGAAATAAATTTTATTTGCTCGCGGCGAACACGATCTGTCCCACTGTGTGCTCAAAACCGTAGCGGAATTGTGGAATGTATATATATATGAAGCTATGTGCGAGCGAATGCACTTGCGTTGTGGATCGTAAATATGTATGTGTGCGTGTGAACTAACGTTTATGTTTATGCCTGTATGTATAAACATAACATACTAACTTAATAGCCACTTATGATAATTTTTCACATAACACTGTTTA